GGCCGTTGCCGCAAGTCCTCGTGCAAGAGCAGGTGTCATGCCTCTTTTCCCGCAGAACGGAGCAGCACTACTTCATCTCAAGACGCATGGAGTGGGGCTTTTACAGAGCTCCTCTTAACAGCGTCTTCATAAAAGTAACGAAAAAACAGTGAAGCTGTCTAACTCCCTTCTTCCATTGTCCTACCTCCACGGCTAGCCCCACAACAGTGTCGGAGTTGTTTTTGTTAAGAGTATGTTAAAACTGCACCTGCCTGAAGCGCTCCCTTCCCCTACAAGGCTAAATGGGACATCAGACCTACACCTTGAGGGAAAGGTGTTCTTATTTTTTCTGACCAACTCAAAGATAGGAAGAAAAGGGAAAAAACATTCTAATTTCTATTGAGACAACTCAAATAGGAAAGAAAAAAAAAGGATTGTTTTTCAGCATTTACAATACAGATAGATAAGTCCAAAAATATCCCCGAAAAATCAGAAGACTAGAGAACATTCAGAATGAAGCCCATTTATAAATATAGTAGAGCATACCTACAAAAGCAGCTGAGAATATTTTGTTTTGTTCTGAGGTTCTGTGTGTTTTTTTACTTTTGTGTTTGTTTTAATTTAAGTGCTTTATGGCAAGATTTACTCTGGTAAGAATGACATTCCTGTTCTCTAAAATAGAACAGTGTGTTTATTTCCAGCATTAACTGTGTGACCCCCTAGCTGTCCCCACAGGCTTGTGATTTTCCTTAATTCCTTATAACAGTATCTCCTCTTCCTCTTAGAATGAAACATAACCATTCGCATTTTTTAGTTATTTTACATTGAACAAACATTGCTGAGAGATAAATGCCAATAATAAATTCAGAAGTACTTTAATGACTTCTGAGCTTAACTCCTACTCTTAAAAGTGATGCAGTTTCAAGAAAACTGAAGGCTTTTGAAAGTTGTATACCATACATAGGAATAGAAGTTCAGCTATAGGAAATACTGAATTATGCTACATAATAATAATGCCTCTTATTTAGCATAATAAAAGTTAAGTTCAATACTCTGTTTCACAAGTAAGGTCACTGAGGTTCGGAGAACTGCTCAGATGACACACCAGACCTGTGGTACATGAAATAAAAGGCAGCACATGCGGGTGCTGCATCCATCTCACACAGGTCTATCCAGAACAGAGTTAGAAATTCAGTAATTAGCGCAGTTGCCAGTTGGTGAGTGTTCACATGCACAGAAAGCAGAGGCATAGCAGGAACACAGGTAGTTCTAATAAGCTCCTCTTATCCTTCTGTTTTCAGTTTGGAATAAGTATCACCGAACCTGGTTTGTGGGAACTAAATTTAAAAAGGAAAGTAGTAACGACTCCAGATTGCCATCAGTGCTAAAACCTGTACGATGGGCAGGAAGGAATGAGAAGAAGGAAATCTCTTTCAAGCTTCTCTTGCCCCCAGGGTGTTAGCATATTATTACATTTCCCTGTCCCCTTTTCCTTCATTTTCTCCCAGTGAAGAGAGAAGAGGCTGTGGGGTATTGTCTATCTCCCAAATCAATTAAAGCAGGTAACCAAAAAATCTATCTGTTGCATCTCTAAAGCAGACAAATAATTAAAACTGTATATTCTTTAGGTAACCAACAAACTGAATCATTTCTCCTGCGATCTACTGAGTAACAGCAGGGTTAGGATCTCCGTATATGGAGAAAACTCCTTAGGAGATGCCGAACAAGCAACATAGAACTGCAGCTGGCAGCTATTTCACTGGTTTCCTAATTACCCATCAATAATGAGTTCAAAAACACAAAATATGTTGCCTCTGTTTTTCTCATATAGCTTGAGTTCTTGAACTCCAAATATACAATTTAAGAACACAAGTATGATGGCATTTGTCTTCATTTCTATTTTGTCTAATTCCAGTAATAACTGTCCTACCTTTTTTTCTCCAAGCGCTTAGCCCCATTAGATCTCAGCACAAGCTCTGCAGTTCTATCACAGTCCAACCCAAAAAGCCGTGCTGGCTCACTAGATCCTTCCCCAGGTGCTCTGAGCTGCAGGAGTCTTGATCGTGGCACACTGTAATGTCTGTATAGCCCCTTTCACCAGATATTTCACAAACCAGAATATGTCTGCATCTAAGTGTACTAGGAGTATGAAGTGTCATTATCTGTTGCAGCACAAACACCTAAGCCATACTTCACATCTCCAGATTTGAGCTAGTCACTTCTTCATTTAAAAAACTCAATAGACACAGCACATCTTTTCCTGGGTTCTTTTTCAGGATACTATCCATCAGTGTAGCACCTGCTATCAAATAATTTTCATACTTACATCAAAGTCCCTTGTGGACTTGGACTATTTGATGCTGATAGACACTTTCTTTGGGAGGATGCTTTTTAATTTTCATATGCATTGCTGATTTTTTTCTTGGTTTGCTTCAGAAAGGGATGCTAGTGCTGTCAACATTGTTCTGATGGTAAAAAAGGTATTCTGAAGAAGGTTTTCCAGTGTTTTCCTAAATACTCTGGACTGTTCTGATCCTTGGAAGCGTCTTGGTTTCCCCAGACTTTAAAACCCTTTGGACCAGACTTTGTGATCTGCGTTGTTCAAGAGGTAAGCAGCTGTCCCAGTAATTCATAGACTGAAGTTTGGGCTCTTGCATACCCAGGCCCTGATGCATTGAATATTGGCTTTGAATATTGAACTAAAAAGTCTTAATAAGCTCTGCAGACTGACTTGGAGCCAGGATAGAGAACATTTATAGGAACACTTAGCCATAGACTCCAAAAGTCATTGTACACCTATTTATCCTACACAATAACTGGAAGGTCAGATATGGAACCAAATAATTTATATAGACAAAATGCAAGATTCTTGGCATGAATTTTTACAGCTTATATCATATGCAGTGGGTGAAGTTAACAGATCAGTATGGTCTTTTCAACCTTAAAAATCAGTGAATGAAGCCTTTACCGAAATTTCTGCCAATATAAAACTTAAAGATTAATATCTCATAGAACAGTCTATTTACAAAAGCTTTTATCTTATTTATGCCATTATCTAGTAATCTGTCTGCTAGCAGAGGAAGGATAAATATTTCAAAGCATCACACAGGATTTTAACATCATGAATCTTGTTAAAATTAATGGCCATAAATCCTTCCAAAACACCTCAGTAACAAAGCACAGGCATCCAATCTGCATAGGAAAGCTTACCTGTTTGCCTTTGCTATTTCCTAGTTATGTTTCTGTAGTAAGGTGACCTTCTCCTGAACACTACTTATTAGAAGTAATTAATATATGAAAAGTATTAAAGCTAATTGGAGAAGGAGCAGACTAAGTCATCTAGCCATCTATGTCTACAGCCTCTAGAAAAATGTTTCCTTTCAAGAGATCTCATGCAGATACTATTTTTCTTGGTTTACAAATATTAACTAGTTTAATCACATAATATCAAAGGAAAACAAAAACTAATAAGCCAATCTCCCGTCTTCACGAAAACATAGGCTGGCTGCTTAGTGCATGAGACCTCAAAGGGTGAAACAGTAGGGATGCTGCAGGGGAGGATCTGAACCTGGCGTGGCGGGGGCGACCAGCCTGAAAGCAGTTTCGCAGAGAAGGCCCTGGGGGTCCTGGCAGACAACAAGTTAAGCATGAGCCAGCAATGTACCCTTGTGGCCAAGAAGGCCAAGGGTATCCTGGGCTGCATTAGGAAGAACATTGCCAGCGGGTGGAGGGAGGTGATCCTGCCCCTCTCCTCAGCCCTGGGGAGGCCTCCCCTGGAGTACTGTGTCCAATTCTGGGCTCCCCCGTACAAGAGAGACATGGAGCTCCCGGAGTGAGTCCCGCGAAGGGCTCCTAAGATCATTAAGGGACTGGAGCATCACTCATATGAGGAAAGGCTGAGAGAGCTGGGACTGCTCAGCCTGGAGAAGAGGATTGGGGTTGGGGTGTGGGGGAGCAGATATTATCTGTGTATATGTGTATATGTGTATAAATATGTGATGGGAAGGCATAAAGAAGATGGAGCCAGACTCATTTCAGTGGTGCCCAGCGATAGGACGAGAGGCAACGGGCACAAACGGAAACACAGGAAGTTCTGTCTGAACATGAGGAAAAACTTCTTGACTGTGAGGGTGACAGAGCACTGGAACAGGTTGCCTTCCAGAGGTTGTAGAGTTTCCTTCCCCGGAGATATTCAAAAGCCATCTGGATATGCTCCTGGTCAATGTGTGCTAGGTCCCTGCCTGAGCAGGGGGGTTGGACTAGATGATCTCCAAAGGTGCCTTCCAATCTCAACCATTCTGTGATACTTTTGTCTAGCAATACTACCGTTGCAGAAGTCTTTTACCACCAGGCTCACAGAGACAGATGGAATACTTGTGTTCTAAGTAAAGTGAATCAGATAACATGACTTAAGAAACCTTTTCAAATTATTGTCCGTAAAGGAATTTTTTTTTTTTTTTTAGGAAAAAATCTTAAATATAAGATACACTACTGTCAGTTTCACATTCGGTAATGGTCATGGTAATTTCTGGAGTTACATTTTTAAACAACTAATGATTGGAACTACACTGTTCACCCATTTCCAGATGTAAATACAGTAGATATAGTCTAGAATCTTGCAGAGGAGATATTTGCAAGTGTTATGCAAAGGATTATGTTTTCTTTCTACCATTTACAGTGCAAATTCTCCAACAATTGTTCATCATCCCCACTACCTAGCTCATTTTGACCAAGGCAGTTTGTTTTCCTGCATCACGGTCATTCTAGTCTCACACTGTTATTTGCACAGAAAATGGAAGTTTTCGAAAAGAGCACATAAAGCTGAATGTGAATTCTCAGCCTTGCTGGCATTAATGTAAGCCCTGCATTCACAGTTAAGATACAATAAATTGTTTTTTTCTTTTATTTTTTCCTGAGATGTGTTCATTTCAAAAACTGTCATTTCTAAACCCAAGATCCCTTTTCATCCTATTAGAGAAGCAGTGAACAAGCTGGACCAAAAGCAAACTTAAAACACTATATCATGAGTTGAGGAAAAGATTTTATTTTAGAGCTAACAAGTTGATAATAAATAAAGGAATATAATAATGTAATAACAGATGTTCTCATGCACTTAACACATACAATAAAGCTGGCTTACACTGCTGTTTGGACAAATTGAGAAGAGGTATTTGGCAATATTATAAATTTGAACAGTTTAAAGATTATAGAACAAGAAATTATTTCTGCTGTTGATTTTTTACATTTCTATTATACAAATTCAAATAAATATTAATATATCTATTTTTCTTCAAATTTTGTATTCACTTTTAGCATGCCTGATAACAAAGCCACAGCAATATACAACTGCCAAGAAAGAATATTTATGAATTATACTTAGTAATAGTCCTAGAAATGTATCTTATTTATATCACATTGTGCAAGCTCTTTAGGTAGAACTGGATTTTAGGAAAAACTGCAGAAAGTTCAAACTCCTTTAAACATTTTCAGTGCAAAGGCCAGTCTAGTCCACAAATTATGGTACTGTAATGTAAGCCAATATTGTTTAAATAATAAAACATGCCTATATGATTCAGAGGAAGCTGAACGTGTTTTATGCTTTAAATTTTAAATATCTGATCTGATATGCAGATTCTGCAATATCAGACATTTTTCAAATCTTCACGAGATGGCAAAATAATTTTAAGACTTTATAAGTAGTTTTTTTTTTTTTTTTAAGATAACTCACATCAGCAGTACTACAGTGGCCAAAAGAGACAAACTATTATAATAGAAATCAATCTGATTAAAAAATTAAATATTCCAATTAACACTGAAAAAGTGTCTGTAATCATTATTTACAATTTGTCAATGATACCAGTGTATAACTTCACACAGTCAAAGTATACCACTTTCCAAGTAAATACCAATTCTTATATCCCCATTCAAGCATTCGATAGTAGTATGTTGTTTATCTATGAAACACATCAGTTTAAAGAAGGAGATCGATCTGTGGTCCAGAGTAATTCTATATATGGCCATTTGGTTTGCAAGCAGCGTTTTATGGGAGTATCATCAGTCTGTAGCATCGGTTCTTCAAAACCCATAACAACTGCTGTGCCTTCTACGTACATGACCTGTCAAAATAAACCCAATTATATCAGCCTACGTTTGTTTAAAACCTCTAACATGAGATGACTATTTTCACATGGTTAGGAAGTATTTGTTATAAAAAAGTTTTTACAACAACAATCAACTTCATAAAGTTTTACACATTTTCTTTTTTCTAAAATAAAATGAAATATGAAATCTAAGGAACCTAATCTCTTAGACTCTACTGTCTGAAAGTCCTTATCAGGCCATATCCACTCGACGGTTTACATGAATAGATTGTAACGTGTAAAACTGGAAAAAAAATCTAGAAAATGCAATACACAAGTTCTGTGACAATGGATCATCCAACTTCAATTTGCTTTTCTGCTTGTCAGAAAAAACAATGTAAAGATTATCAGTTAATGTCTAGAAAGTATTCCCCTATGATAGACTGTGCTTTAGGAAACACAAAGCTTTTGCTGTGAAAAGTATGGTTTTGAAATAAATATTTGTAGTGCAATAAATTGTCTCTGTTTGGACTTTATAATTTCAAAAGTGAGGGACTTTTTGTACAGGCAACTACTACTAGAAGTTAAAAAAAATTACTGATTTTTTTTCCTATAATTTTCATCTAACTGGGAAGAGACTGAACATGCACAGAGGGCAATACAAAAGAAAAGTTAAGAAAAATAACTGCATGGAAGTTTTAATAAAGCAGAAGGCCAAAAAATTAAATGAACATTAATTTCATGTATTCATATATTCATATATGAATACATACATACATTCATATTGATGTGAACATAGGATGCAATTTCAGGACGTATAGATACTCAGCATTGCTGGATATCAGACAACTTGTTTAGATGCCCTGATTTAAGACCAAGAAGTTTGAAATGTTTTCATGTAAAGTAGACCAAAAGGTACTGTACAGAAATTATACCTTAGACTTAACTTTATGGAATTAATCCTACACAAAGTGAAACTTGTTTCCAGTAAGTCTATTCATAAAGCAACGTTTAAAATGGTGTAGGCAGAATTCCCTGAAAACAATACAGAAAATTTAAACAAAAGTTTATGTATACAAGTTGAATATTAAAAAAAAACGCTTCTTTGAATGTTTTTGCTTACATTTTGGTATACAAAAGTGCTGGAGATTTCACAATGGTAACTGTAATGACTTCGTAACTCCAAGCTATTCTGGTGTCTGAATATATCCATTTTCCAGAAGAGTTTTCCCACTTGTAGTCATTTCTTTGTTCCTTATGTCTATTCATTCCTTACACTCTTCTATACTAAATGTTTATTCAGAACTAATTTAGAAGTGGTCAAAACATGTCATGTATACCCCTTAAGAAGACTGAAACTGATTTTTTTTTTGTCCCCAACTAAGTGGTTCCAAAAAACTCTTGACTTTGGTGCAAGTTTGGAATACTAAAAATACTTCACAAAAAATTCCAAACATCTCAATTCAGTTATGTAGTTACTCAGAGAAGTTACAATTTGTCTGTGCTACACCTCCATTGCTGTATTTTATATCCCACTTCTCATGGATGAACTAACTGCTCTTATTGAAAAAGCATAGCTTAAGAGATGTGATCCAGCCAACTGATCCAGTATATGAGCTAAAATAGGACCAGGAGCACAAGGCAGTTTCCAATCCAAATATATCATTTTGGAAGAAAAATATCCGAAGAATGATTTTGTAAAAAGCCAGTTTCAAGTAAAAGTATTTTACCTGCAATTATGGCCATTTTTACATGTCAGTACAGGGAGTCAGTTTTCCACGCTAATTGTTATCTAAGGCTAGATTTACGTTTCTCAAATCTTACCTTTTCATTATAGTTAGATTGCTTCAGTCCATTGTAATGGTAAACAGTGAATGACTCTGAAACCCTAGAGTCCTAGTAGAGAGAAGATAGTTAATTTCATGTAATATATACACTGTGTCTTGGTAGTGTCTTTCTTGTCTTTACAACTACACAGAAGCATTTAAGCAGGAAGACATAAGCAGACTGTAAAAAAAGCATAATTTCTCTCAGGTGACATCTTGATGATTTTGGTGATCTTGCCTTTCTCACCAGAAATAAAAAAAAGATGTCAGTAAATTATCAGATAAACCCCTACATTTTCAAGAACAAGCTGTGATTTTCAGTGCTTGTCTGGACACTTGAAAATTATAACTTAAGCACTGAGCATGCAGAATCTGTCCTAGTTATTCAAGTTGCACGCTTTAAGTAGTAGCCTCACTTGTGTGTATGAATGACGAACTGCTTGGATGCTACTAAGTATTTACTAAGCACCAAATCCAATCCCCTACCCTCCATTTCAGAGCTACAGTAATTTACACCTTAGTCTGCCTAAACTAATTCTGAAAATACCTATTTAGCTGGTGCTTAACAGCAGAAATAATGCATTTGTCAAACAATCCAGCTGTTTAAATGCTTTAGTCCTAAAAAGATCTGAAAAGCTTTGCATTTAGCTGAATTGGGATACAGAACTTAAATGTTATACTATCTCTTTTATACCTACTGGACCAAGCTCCAAACAAAAGCTTATCTCCTTTTTAAAAACTTGGGGGTAAAGGCTGGAGTGAGGAGAGATCTGCTCAGGTTACAGTACATTCATGAGAATAAAAAAAGCCCTCATTTATTTTTTTCTTCTGCTTGGAGGGATTCAAAAACCTTATCTTGCTATGGATCTCATACAGCAAGCTAGGCTATTCAGTGCAGGAAGGGTACAGAAGAAAAAGGTAAGGGGGGGTAACTCTAACTTACAAAAGTTGCTTCACAGGGATAGGTAAAACTATCCTGTGAAGGAAAAAGAGCACATATTCTTTTTTGCGATGAAGGCATCATCACCCTGAAGGCTGAGAAGTGTTGTTTTCCATTTCTTGTCCCACTCATTTTGTGACTTTTGTGCAGTAATTTTTTCCAAAAAAAAGTGCATAGAGGGGAATTCAGGAATCCCTCTCTTCAGGTGACTGCGCTAAGCCCTAAAGAGTCATGATCGGTCTCTCAGCCTAAATGATCTTTGAGTATTTTTCTCCAAAGCCAACAGCTTCGAAAAGGAAAGCTGAGATCTCTTCTTTCCTTCAAGCTGGTATTCAGCACTTTTTAGGACAGTGAGAATTTGGATTTGAATATTCTCAGCAAAGGAGGAAGTGAATCTGGATCTCCCAAGCGATATGTAAGTGTTCAAACATCGTATGAAGGGGAACAGCAACAATTCCAACCGTTATTGGCATCCTCTCTTTCCTCACAATATTTTAAAGTAAGATATTGATCTTCACTTCTGAAGACTCTCACTTCTGGAAAGAATTCTGAACTAATTCTCAATATGGGGAAGGGCTCCTGCTATCTGATCTAGAGAACACAGATGATTTGACACATATCCTTGCCCTCAGTGCTAATTCACAAATTGATTCTGGCAGCTCCCAGTCCCGAGTGTGTTGATTATTCAGACTGTACTCTAAGGTAGAAACACTTCCCTTTTTTTTTTTTTTTTTTTTTTTTTTCAGAGTTAGAGAGGGCAAAAGCACAAGCAAATCTCAGTGGTAAGTAAGCACGCTGCAACAGTCAATCTGTGCCTGATGGACAGGCCTCGACTTGGGGCCTCCGACTTCACAACAGGTAAAGAGTTCTTTCACCACCACTCTCTAGATTATTAAGGCAGGGATCTGCCCACGACTCTGCTATGCTTCCTTCCCTATTTCCCCTTATTCAGTCGGCGATCCACTCAGGAACAGGAAGTAGAGGCAGCAGGACCATGGCAACCCACATACAAAAGGTGCTTCCTCCTCCAGCTGTGTGTGGCCCTCCGTACTGGATGGTTTAAACACAGCCAACTATGGAGGATGTACTTTGGCCTTCTAAGCGCCATTCTAAGCAGCTGGGGCCTAAAACTAAACACAGCAGACTTACCAACTTGCAAGTGTAAAATCATTGCAAGAAATAAGATTATATTCTATTGTAAAGAAGTTTTGACTTCTGGATGCAGAAACAAAAGGAGGAAGAAAGAGCTGACAAATAAGATGCAGACCTAATTCTGTAAATCCCAAAAAACCAAACACTACAACTCCTGCCTTTTTGTCTAGATGCTGAATCATCCCTTAATGATGTATTCAGTCCTTACCATCTTTAGCTACAGTATGCTGTACTTCTCTAACACAGATTCTTGTCAAAGGTATCTTAAAAATACTCGTTTCATGTTTCCTTCATTGTAAAAATTAGGCCATGTAGTTTCAATTACATGGTAAGCCAAAAAAGTGAAAAAAAGAAGCACTCCTCTCAGGCCTTCCCTTGCCACCACCAGCCAGTCTTTCTGCCCCTAGGGTAACCCCTCCCTTCTGCCAATACAAGCACTTGTATTGTATTGCCCAAGAATCTGCAAAAAGCGCTCTCATCTGGACCAACTCCCTGTTCTGCTTTATCACATGTCTCTGCAAAGGTGTTCCTGGTGGCGGAAGGCAGGCAACATGGGGGCAGGAAAATGCAACCAAGGGGAGAGGGAGGAAGAGGACAACAGTGCTAGGCTCACACTTGCTCTTTTCAGTGGTGTGGTGCTGTCTTAATGAGTATTTATAATAGACAGAGTTGTAAATAAATTTCCATAATCCTGGCAGATGCTGACTTTAAAGTATTCTAAATGTAACTCTCTAATAGCTTTTCAGTAAGCTCTCAAAAATTTTAAGTAAATAGAGATCTACACAAAAAATAGTTTTAGTTATGTTTGCAACCTTTTCCTATTTGCTAGCCACTTACAGCAGTCTTTTGTAACATTGATAAACGCAATATGGCCATTTCATTCTCATAAAAAAAAAACTCAGATAAACTTCCTTTTCTGGGTTCAATTTCAACAAGTTCAATTTCATATGCAAAACAATTATATATTTCCTGAAGTTAATTTTAGAACTTGTCACTACAATAGAGTTCCTTCCAGTGTAAAGCTTATAAAATCACGGACACCTTATGCAAATGGAATTCTACAATTCACTCTGTAGTGCAAAAAGTTATTTGCTGGTCATTTGCATCAAACAAAGGCAATACTTATTATTAAAAATATCTCTGTGATATTGAAACAAAAGTTAAATGAATCTCAATGACAGGCTGAATACACAATGATCTGCAGCAATAAAGCTGTAGTTATTACCTGCTCAGGGAAAAATTCTTGCAGAAAGGGACCCAGTAATATGATGCCCAGTCCTTCTGGGTCTAATTTGGTCTTCATGAGGTTTACGCTATGACAAAAACATTGGATATAAAAGCATGAGTAGGGCATTTTTGTTCTTGCATGATTAAGTTGTGCTATGCTACCATAGTACTGGCTGCCAAGTATATCAATACTATTCTATTTTTAAGTATAAGTGACAAATGCAGCAGAATGGCATGCAAGTTGCCAAAACATAGTTATTTTTAAATAAAAGTAATCTGTTATTTCAAATTAAATAAGTGGTAATTCTGAAAGACCACCGTATTTGGTAAAGCAATTTTAAACCCATATAATCTAAACCCAGGTTTTACAGTCCAAAAGGCATTTTGATGCCTTGTAAACATTCTTGAGCTTAGATACATAAAACAATCATCTTTTAAAAACAGCTCTGTTAACTGTCAAGCAACCTGTTTTTAAAGGGAGATTCAAAATGCCTCCAAGAAGTACTCAGTACATCGAAATAAAATTAACAGATACATTTCATATTTACATGGTGCCCTTGATATCAAAGAAGCCAAAAACTATTAAATAATGAAAATATTAACAATACACAGGACTAAGCTGAAAGCCTTACTGACATGAATATGGTATAACTTCAGGTCATTATAAATGAATGCCAATAAAACCTTTACGCTTCTATTTAAGCAGTATACTTCTACAGAAATTAGAGTGTTTAAAGATTTATTCATATTTGTCCTCTCCTTTTGCCTAACATTACAAGCTGTACCATACAAGAATGTCCACACTGGGTCAAACCAACAAACCATCTTGCCCAGTATCCTGTTTCTGACATTGGTCAGTAGTGAATGCTTACGATAAGAGTACAACAGGGCAAACATACAGTGATATCCTTAGTTTACCCTCCCCACTTCCAGCAGTCTGCTGCTCAAAGACTTCTTCAGTGAGAGGCAGTATCTAAAACACAAAGATATATATTTTTTCTTTCCGTGCATATGTCTAATTGGCTTTGAACCCATATACACTTGTGGCATCAATCAACTCCATTCACAAATTAAAATTTAACTACAGACTGTGTGAATAAGCATCTCCTTCAGTTTTGAACCTGCTACCTGATGATTCAATTTGATGACATCTTATTCTTGAATTGTGAGAGACAATGAACATTCATTTCCTCTTTTTTTTTTCTTTTAAATGAAAATCTTAATTTTGGAAAACGCTATTACATGCCAGCACAGCTGTGTCTTATTTCCAGGTCAGATAGTCCTAACCTAGTTCTTCCTTGAACCGCAGCCATTCTGCACCTTTGATTAGCCTTGCTGTCCTCCTGATACCTTTCTACAATATGCTTGTTGAGATGGGGTAGAACTAGAACTACAGAAACTGAGGGAATGTCACAGACTCATAGGATGGCTTAATTCCTAACAATTCCATTCCGTATGTGTGACTAAAAGGGCGTATCAGTTTAAGTCTGAGATCTCTTTTTTGAGTAGTAATACCCTAGTTCACAGCCCAACACTGTGCACATAAAATCAGGATAGTTATATTCCATGTGCATTCTATCTACATGTACTGTACTGGAACTTATCGGTCACTTTATCTCCCAGTAACTTCTGCTGCTCTTTCAAGCCAGTTTTCATTTTTATTACCTTGAATACTTTTGTATCAGCAGTTAACTTTTTCATATTGTTCTCTACACTCAAATCCACATCCATGCCATGACAAACTATACAGACCTAGTACAAATTCCTGTTAAGAGTCCTCTAATGACCTCCCTCCATTAAGAAAAATGACATTTATTTCTATACTTTGATCAGTTATTAATCTACAAGAGAAAACTTCCTTCTTAATCCCACGTTTACAGATAACTCATTCACTAGTCAATTTTCCCCAGATTAGCCTTCAAATCCTTCTCTAAGTACTGTTTTCCATTTGTCACCTTCTCATTCCTCTGGTATCAAGAGACTTTACAGTGGTATATAACTTAAAAACAGTACAGCAATTTCATACTGTTCTTTCCTCAGAATTCTGGGGTGAATATCACCTGGTGATGGCAATTTGGTATCACTCATTTTACTTACTAGAATTTCTTCTTAATGCTTCAGAGACTTAGCTCTTCTGACAACCTATAAAAAGGCTTAGGTATAGAAATCTCCCTATAATCTTCCACACTGAATACGGATGAGGAACAAAACTCCCTAGTGAAGCCTTCCCCAATGAACATGAAGAAGAATTCACCTCACTTTTCTTACGGACTTAAATTACTATTTTTAATACTGAGGTTCACCTATCAGACCTACAGACCTCTTGCAAGTCTCTTAATTCTGAGAAGTTTAAAAGAAAATATTATTAGCTTTTATTTCATATCTTTACAAAGATATGAAATATCTTTGAAATCTTTCAAAAGATTTTCAACTCTGCCTTGTTTTGTATTTACATTTAACTTTTCATAAATGTATGTTTTTCCTGTTTTCTTCACTTAGACATTACATTTTCTTTTCAAAAGACAGTCTTAGCCTCCTATTGCTTCCTCTATCCTGCTTTTAACCATTTAGGCTTTTTTCATTTGGGGGTAGGGAGAGGAAGTGTCCTTTTAAGGTCTTTTTTGGTTACTGCCGTATGTAGGCATCTTATCCTTTTCGCTTTCAACTATGTTTCTTCATTTTTAAGTAGCTCCCTTTCTTGACGTTATCATAGTAGTAGTAAATTATTTGCCTTCTTTTTGCTTTTGCCTCAATACACACAAATGTTATGCAATTGCTAAAAGAAGAGTGAATCTGTTAGGGCCCTTAAAAGGGCAATTCTATAATTCATAAAACTGAATGAGATCTCCTATAAACAATATTCATTTAATATATAAAAAAACGAATGTTCATGACTTAGGTGATATTACCACTGAGGATTTACATGATACTGGACTTTAAAACCTCTATTGCTCACTCTTGTTGCTTTCAAATTACAAAACTAAGACTTTAAAGTAGCTGTCTGCAATACGCTCAAAGTCTTGAAATGCTAGAACAGGCTCTAGGAACACTGGGATCATAACAAGAAATAAGATGTATTTAAGATAATTTTGAAAATGCTCTCAAATTAGGGTAATGAAAACAAAGTAATTTATGTACCCACTAATACAAAAATTGTTTAAAAAAGTAGAGTCTTGCTAAGCCTTTAAGTCTAGACAGTGTACAGAATGCAATCAATTAAGCTAGAAGGGAAAGTTAATAACATTTGACAGCTGAATATTTCAACTGAGGCCATCTTCTTCATTCAGCAAATAACTGGAACAGTTTAGACTGTTACTATTACTGACATTACCGCAGAGTTAGCAGAACAAGCGTGTGCACGTGCTTCAGTCACTTCAGTGCAAAAGTGTAGCATCTTAACTAAACAGGTTATGAATGTCAAGGTACTGATACTGATGGTTTTTGTACTGCAATGGCTGAGATGTGCGTGGGGTCAAAAACCTCCAGCAGAGGTTAGATGTATGGCTGGGCTAAACTGTTTTGAATGAGCTAAATCTAGAGCGTCCTAAGGAGTATCAGATAGTTTTTAGAAACAAATAGACAAAATAAATTGAGCAAGAGAACTGGGTCCTCAGATCTATTTACTAAAAGACTAAAAATTTTTACTAAAGTTACATGCCATTTTCCATAAACTGGCTCAGTACTGAAAGGGCTAACCCACCTCGTGAATCCATGTCTGCTCTGTAAAGTTTTCACTCTATACTTCTTAAACTCTAAGCAGATCTGACCGTTATTCACTTTCAGATTTTGAAAAGCTTAAAACCTCAGATTAGATGATCACAGAAAACGAATTTTCATTTAGTTCTCAAAATCAAAAGCACAAATAGCACACTTGCAAGCAATACCTTCAATTGTATTATAAATAAAACAACAGAAAAGTCTGTATCACCCTTGAAATGTGCTATTTATACTTCTGTTCTACATCAAATACACAAGACATCTAGAATCAAAATTGATAGGCCCTCAAGACAATAGTATCAGATATTTTTATTTAATAAGAGATGTTTCAAGGATGAATATTCTGTGGTTTGATCGCCAGTGAGGTCCTTTCAGTACAGCAGGCCTCCCGACTGACTCCTCCTACATCAATTTATATATGATGTCCTATGCACAATAATATAGGTCAGGGTTATGCCACAAGTGCCCTGAAGCCCAAACAGCCAACAGAAAAAAGGATGAATGCAGAAAAAAGATACTCTCAGATTTATTGAGGTAGCAGAATAAAGGCCAAAAGGAAGCTTTTCAGACCCTCAGTTTAACTAAGGCTTTTTTCTCTTATTAAACTTTTGCAAGTGTCACCATTTACTGACATGACAGGAATGCTAGCATTTTTGTCAGGTATTTTCTTTGGTTTTAGTTTCCTACAGTGTCTTTTGACTCCCGTTTTCACCCCTACTCTCGATAGAGAACAGATCAGTAACCCTAGCTGTACTTTATAATATTCGAAAGGAAAGAAAATTGAATCGAATTTCAGATATCTGTGCTAAGGAAACTTGCAGTCTCCAAAGCCATTCTACAGGAACAAGTGATTTAGACTATAATAAAGTACATCCTGAGCTTATGAAAGAGCAGAGTCATCTTCTGCAAAGATAAACCTAGGTTCAAACACATAGCTGCCCTTTCTGGGTTTAGCATTTAGTGGTAAAATATGCTTAGTAGGTAAGCTTTGGCACTGAAGATGCCACAGAATATTAGTCCTGCCTGTCCATATGAGAATAAAAATAAACTACCTTTCTCACTCAGTAGTTGCAACACTAATCCTAGGAATCAAGGATGCCATTTCTGGAAAGACAACTACAACTTGGTACACTAGGTGCCAAGTGTTGGTGGTAACAAAAATGTAAGTGGAGTAGTACATAGAACTGATGGTAATCTGCCTCAGTACGTGTTGGTTCTTCAGGTCTTTTGGCACACAGTCACACCCTGGTCAGCATAGGGGAATATATTCACATGTGATAATGCAAATAGCCTTTTTTCCTTTTTTCTTTTTCTTTTTTGGCTTCCAGTTATCACTACCAGAATTAGAGACATTTTAATTCCAATTCCTCCTCCATTTCATTTAAAGCTGACTTAAGCACTTTAAAATAATGTTTTGTGCCCAGACCACAATCCAGAAAAAGCTTAAATTATAACCAATATGTGGTTAATTAGAATATATTTATATTTATGCTATTATTATTTTAGAATATATTTCTGTAGTACTTAAATTTTATTACACTTACTATTCAGGATCTGAAACAAGGTCCAGAGCTTTCATTACATCTTCTAGGAGAGTGTCAGGTATAAAACCATTATCTGAAGAAGTAACAAAGGTTCTAATTAGGAAAAGAAACAATATGCTTTCCAGAAGTACAAATTTTACTCAAAAATAAAGTACTACACATCTTTATCTTCAAAATTTAAAAATAAAGGACAGAATTCTAGAATGAACACATGGTTTTCATACACTTCTTGCAATTTCTTTCTTAAAAATTGAGCGATATGATACAGAGACTGTGGTTTTGTTTATAATTCATGCACTCTGAAGTTCAATCCCTGGTCAGAATTCAACCTAACTATAGGTAGTGCCACTTGATACCACAGGGATGATGATTATAAAACCTTTTTTTTTCCTTTTAGCTGGTTAAAATTATACTTGAATGTCAGACATATTTTCCAAAACATAGTAACATTTTCAGCATGTGCCACATATATTCCAGAACAGAAATTCATAACTAATGCAATCACAGCTGGTTACATTTATTTTATGAAAATGTAATATAAGAGAAATTGTATATAAGCCTTATGTAAATTACAGATAACACTCCAAGCTTAAAAAGCTTGTGCTCCAAGAACTCTTCTTCCTATTGCACTGCTGTATTTAACCTCCTCCACTGCAAAGTTTTCAGAAAATTTCATTTCACTTGTGGATTGACTACTGTAAGGAAAATTTCTTGTCTTATTGAGCATTAAGCTATTGATCAGTACTGAGCCCAGGCGTAAACAGCACACACCTCGGCATGGAAAGGACAGTGCTTTTGAAAGTGCAATATTAAGAACTGTTTAAATAAAATAACGGTTCTGTTTTCTGAAGACATTAACGCTACACAGTGCAACATTCATTACTATTTGAAACTTATCTTTACTGAATAAGTACATTTCAATGTAAAAAATCTCACTTCAGCAAAAATTACAGCTCTTACCCTCCGGGTCATACGTTTGGAAAACCCTTCTGGCTTGTTCTGAAGGCGCTTCAGGAGCAACGAGAGCCGTATCCTTAAAAAAAAAGAAAACTTTCATAATATTCTTAATTCAGATACACGTTACTAAGGAAATATTTAGCTATGCTACACAGGGTAGGACCTTAAACTAACAAAAATTCAAATAAAACAGCAGAAAAATTAACTTTAAAGTTAATTCCAATACATTGGCCATAGTGACTTAAAAGGATCAAGGAGTATGTTGAGGATTAGTTAACAAATTTCTACACAAAGTCATAGCACAGAAAACATGGCACAGTCCGTTTCATGGAATGGCAGAACACATGAAAAGCTTGTTAGCTTCATGAAAAGGTAAGATTTCAATAGCAGCTGTTGTATTGCATTAATTATCCGTGACTTTTTTCAGCTCAAATACAATTATGCTTTCCAAAACTTATAGGCAGTGAGGCACAAGTCTACCCACTATTGTAAAACCAGCAAAAAATAAAACCATCCCTCTAGTTTTATGCCAAAAATTTTTTAGGAAATGAAGTCAGTTAGTGATTTATGCGAAACAAAAGGTGGCAAAAGGGTAAGAAATACACATACTCAACATATACTTCAATTTAAAGAAAGTATAAAGCTCTGATGTTCCAATGGAACATGAAACTTCAAAACGGAACTCCAAACACTGCTTGTTAAGGGTACCTGAAATCCTACATCTCATCTGGCAAATTTGTGATCACCTAAGTTGTTTTTTTACATAGAAAGGAAAACAAAAAACTTGCACAGAGGGAAGCACTGCATTTGACAATGTTCCCTCTATAGTTTCTCCTACTGTCAAAGTGAAAAATGTTATTTAAGATACCTGCCGTGTTACAGAAAGTAAATTAAAAAAAAAAAGAAGTGGTAGAGTTGACATTACTCTGAATGATGTTACACCTTGGGAATCAACCTCTTGGTCACGTTGCATTAACTGTAAATCTATTTGTCACCAATTGAAAAGTTACCTCAAAATGTCCTTTAAAGTATACGTGATTTTTTTTCTTTCTGAAGATTACTCAGAAATATTTTCTTGAAATAGAAAATTGCAACATCTGCTCATTGTATCTGTATGTGGCAACACTGAACTTTGGTCTAAACTTTACAAGTCAGCACTACTTCATTTAAAAGAAGGCAGGGAAGAGAAATCAGAAAATGTAGAATTAAAATACGCATAGTGACCTATTGCTCTTTAACAGACAAAGAAAAATGCTTCAGGGAAAGACCAGAAGTAAATAATGCATTGGACTAGAATTCCACTCCTATCCAGTTTCTCTTAATAGCTGACTCCAAACCAGCCAAGAATTTTAAGTTTATACCTATTGAAAGCTGGTGTATACTTAAAAACTTTCCTGAATGAAAGCCAGCTGTGTGGGATGAACAAGCAGGTGTAACACTGAACACAACATAGACTTAAACAATAAGAGGCAACAGTTTTATTTTTAACACATAATGATACAACTATAACTGGCATATGCTGCATATAATAGGTGGTTACAGAGTACCCCTCATTTCCACGTACAGGAGAGACCAATATCTGGTCTTATAAAGGACTATATCAGACAGAAAGTTAGGATGAGATATTTGCCCCACTTTCCAAGGTTCTAGATCACCACTCAATTATATTTTGACTTGTAACGGCTACTCCATTGCCACTTGACCACAACATGGAAAATTTACATTATCAAGCAGAACAATGCAAGGAGGGCAAGACCAGGGTTCAGTCTGCTATGACCTGTTTAGAGATGTCTACATCGCATCTTCACTGGCAACAAAGGTTGCACCAAACATCAGTCCTAGATGCACACTGTGCAGAAGCAGAGCTAAGTGCTGGAAGACGCTGTGTCCATACTGCAGGTGAGGCACTCTAAAAGGTGTCCTCGTGTGTAACTTCAGTATTGGTTTCACCAGGAGAGAAAAAGGCTTGAGCACGTCTGTTGGGCACCTAATTGCATGCAAAAGGATTCAAAGTATAGATGTAATGCAAAATTGCACCAAAGAGCAGCTCTCCCGCCTGCTAAATCACTAATGTAAGTGAATTAAATGAATCATGCCTGCTGGAACTCTCCTAGTTCCTGAGAAGTGACAGACTGATCAGCACTGAATTACTTCCTAGCTCCAGCTTACTGGCTCTTTCACAGCACAACTGCCACATTTTGCTGTGATGCGATTGCAGAGCCCATCCTCAGACCAGAAGCAGTCTAGCCTGCAGATAAACTAGGGTTATATGCCTTTGCACTACGCAACTTTTCCAGTCACCTTGTACCTGAGTACTCCAAGTGAGGAAGGGTACAGAGGAAACTAATTTGGGAGAAGCCCCTTTACCTGCTAGCCTCTCGTGGTGAGAGCAACTTTTAAGTTGTAAGTGACTGGACCTTTTCTAGGAGAAGAATAAACTGAGGGATGGAAAGATCGTAATGGCTATTTTCCTCTTACTTGGGAAAAAAGGTGTATCCATAAAGAAGGGTAGCCAAAGAGCTGGCTTACAAGGCACAATAACTATATAGCATCAGAACTCAACAGCATTTTATGGCAATTGAGAACTACTGTAATTAGTTCTCAGTTTAAAATAGATGATGCCATAGCATACAGAGCTTGTCAACAACAAAATGATCAGTGATTTCTATATTCAGGATATTCTCTCCCTAAATTATGTGGTTTAATGTCATACATTTCACAGTTCACATGATTCAAAACAGATTTTATTAAAAGAACAAAAAACCTAATCTCCTGCAATTACCCACATTTTTTTTGATATTACAGTTACAAACATTGTGTAGTTCTGTTGACATCTTAGTTTTTGCAGTCCTTAGTTGTTTTAGCACATGTGTATATGGGAAGAACTTAGAGAATAAGTCACTGAATGCATTACTTTTAACCTAAAATTCCCCGTTTTTCAACTGAGCATTTAAATGTCAAAAAGGCACCCAGTTACTATATATTAACAACTTTTTATTCATAAAGTGTGGTATGCTAATGCTCTAGGCAAGACATTTCAGGAAGAAAATCATAAGAGTTACCTGCCATGGAGAGATGACCAAAAAATGAACTAACTTATATCTTCAGAATAAGCCTAACTTTTCAGTGGGACTACTGTCCTTTAAAACAGCTAAAAATCCAAGATTTAAACCAGGTATATACAAATGCCACGCATCCCCTAACTTAGCACTATCATTCCTTTCCACTGCCCGGAAAACTTATAGTTCAAATAGTCCAAATATTTGCATTAAGGAAAAAATAAACAAGTAGCACACCTACTTCAGGCAGCAAAGCTGAAAACGTGAAAAACATTAACAAAAATGTACTTCAGCTGCCCAAACTGATTCTTCATCAGATGTGCCAAAATATGCACCCCCAGCCTTATAAATTAAATTTTGATGTATCCCCCACACTGAAACTTCCATATAAGGGAATCTCATCAACAGTTAATTATAATAATTATTTTCAATACTAAGTACACCATGTCCTAAAAATTTTGTTTCACTTGTTGGCTCCTGTGATATACAAACAAGCCATTTTACATTACTTTGAACAGTTGTTCTCTTGAGTAGTACCAGTTATTTTAAGATCCCATGTTTACCCTACGAGGCAAAAAATAGCCTTTGTAACTTTTAATGAAAACATTCCAGAAGTTTTCATTCTACAAATCAAAACCAGAACACAATGACTAAGCTACTTGACATCCTGGCCACGAATTTTCACAAAGATCCCTCATTGAAAGTCTTACGGTCTTTGAAAATGAAATCTATTTTCATATGGACTACCTAATAGTTATACACATACAACTGTTGAGCGATACATGGAGGAACTACACAATACAGTATTAACCTTCTTCTTAAAAGTTTGGCTAAATACCAGATACAAACACTGCAAATTTAACAATTATTCACCGAGTATATCTTATTCAGATCTACAAGCATGATGATTATTTAATATGGTCTTGTATTACAGAGAAAAGCGTACATTTATCAGCCCTATAATCAGTGGCTTTCAAACCAGTAATTTTCTCAAAATGGTTTCCTAAGAAAACAGGCTTGATGGGACTTCTGAAACCACTTTCCACAGCTCTACTGACTTCTGAATCCATTGTACAATTTCAGTTTTATTTGACAGTGGAATTGGAGTCTCAAGACCAGTTGCTGAAACTGGAAGCCAGGCACAGAGGAAATGCACAAATTTGCAATCCTACTAAGAGAGGAGGCAGAATTCACCTGTTATTTACTGCATCTGGCAAGAGGTAGGCAACCATTCAACCAACACGTGCCCAAGTTCAAGCTTGCCACTGCACGCCAGCTTGTTGAGTGGACTATCACAGAAAACAAGTGATGGGTAGGTATTTGTTTGGAGGGTGGGGGAGAAAGAAAGAGGTGCAAGAGAAAGGGAAAAGGAGAGAGTGAGGAAGTGTCTAGGAGACAAAGGCCTGGTGGAAGATGGGCTTCACAAGTTCTTGGTCTTACATAACATCCTTCAGCTTAGAAGAGCATTCGCACTATGGGATTACGTAAATCTGACTTGAACGTTCGTAGTGTACTACTTGCATCTTCAGAATGTTAAAAGTGTCAATATATATCACATTACCTTTGCAGAAAACAGTCGGGGGGTCCTCATAGACAACAAGCTGAATATGACTTAACATCGTTTCCCAGGGGCAAGGAAGGCCAATAACATATGGGTCTGCATTAGGAGGAGTGCAGCCAACAGGTCGAGGGAAGTCACCATCCCCCTCTTTGGCACCTGTGTGGCATCTGGCTTACAGGTTTGGGCTCCCAGGTTGTAGCCATTTAGCCCCCATAGCCCAGAGAAGGTTCCAGTAACTGGCCATCAATCAGGCTGGCCTTTATGTGACCCCAGGGCCGATATCTCCAGCCTGACTGGCCAAGGGGCTACTCCGGGTGCTCTGCTATTTTGGAGGACCTTACATCCAAATCCTAAAACAGCTCTGCATTCAAATGAAGGATCGGCAACGGACCAACCAGCGCACTCCACATGCCTACAGGTCCGCCTACAGTCACCATATGGCTGCCTACAAAAGGG